TTGGTCCATGTGGTTGTCATCAATTATCAACTCTTGTCTATCTTTTGAACTAATTTATACTTTGGTAACTGTGATTGCCATTTTGCTTCACTTTTCGTCCCTCAAACTAACTAAGGTCTGTTAACTTAGGAGCTTTTTGGTTATTTTCATCTTTTTGTCTTCGTCTATTAATAAACTGTTGTTCTTTTACTTTACTTTTATCTTTGGTCATTAATGAAACACACCACCTACCAGCCCACCCCCAATCCTACCTTCTTCCTTCGTCGTCAACAATAGTACATCCCTCCGTTCATGACTAACTAACATCAAATTTTAATTAAAATGGAGAGTTACAAGGTTTCACCAATGGTGAGTTTGATTAACCCCTCCCCTCACACATACCTCCATCTTCGATGACTTTCTATGTCTCTTGATTTTGAACTAGGGCTTCTTAATTTACTAGAAACGACAGCCAGATTAGGCAGTCTTGATAATGAGTGATAAGTATAGGGATCAAAAATGTAATCTACTCTATATTTTATTTATAGCAAAAAGAAAAAGAAAAACAAGGAAAGCAAAGTGTTGTTAGAAAATATATAATAAAAGTGTAATGATTAAAAATATAATAATATGTGTGTTAATAATTCCTGTAGGTGATTAGGATAATTATAAAAAGAAAAAGGGAGATGAGGTAAAAGAAAAATAAAAATGTCACAAAATTCAAACACCTAATGATGGAAAACTCACAAGCATAAGCATAAGCATAAGCATGCTATTATCATTCATTCTCAAACATAAAAGTAAAACCAAATAATAACCATTTTTTGTTTGTGGGGAACAAAATCAATTCCCCAAACAGGGAAACATCATGCCCTAACACCCCCTCCCCCTATATCTACACATCACATAGAGATATCATTTTAAATGCATGTTTTAAATATTTATATGACTGATCACTGATAGTTTATAAAAAGAGCTTTTGGTAACTCAAAATTTGAGACTTATAAAAGCTTTATATTTATCTATGTAGGACAGGTTGTTATAACTTTATCTGATTTAAAAGAGCTGGTAAACTCGAAAATCCAATATTTCTAGCCGGTACAAGTTGTCACACTTAAAAATTATGGCATAAATCTAAAAAGGTAAGTTTGATAAAAGAGGTAAAAAGGTGATTTGGATGGAACTATGGTAAGAAATGCAAAACAAGTAAAAGTGTACTCATAATCCCTATAAAATTATTGAAAAATAGGGACAATCTTACATTAACTATTTTACTATATGTTTGACCAATTCACGTTAACTATTTTACTACTACCAAGTATAAAAGTAGAATCAGATATGATGGTTACAAATATTTAGGTAAGTCACCTTATTGCATCTCCATCCATGCCTATCAATTGTTATTTCTAGTTATATGAAGTTTCTAGTTGCTCACATCTAGAAATGTATAGAAATATCGAGCACTGTTAAGAATATTATTTAAACGAAATGACATAACTGTTTAAGAGCATCCAGATTTATACAGTTTTCTCGTGATTTTACATTTATTTTTGTCCCAATAACTACCCTTTTCCCTAAAACTAAAATTTGTTGTGCTTACACTCAGCAAACACCGAAACTGAGAGGTCTGGTTAAGTAACTAATCAACAAATGTGAACTCAATAAAAGAAAAAGAGAGGGTTAAGATATCATGACTAAAGCAATCAAGTTCAAAAGACATCATAGACGTTTAATAAAAGATGAGCAATAGCACATAATAATGGTGAATCAATGATACTCATAGCAAATTTCTATGGATGAATCCCACAAGCACAAACAATATATGATCATGAATTTACACGAATGTATCGCATATCAATCATCAATTGTGCTAATGAACAATATATTTGAGTGTCACGTGAATGACATACTCACACGATCAACAAACGTGTACAAGAGAATTACTACTTATTCTTATTTGAATGACAAACTACTTAATAAATATCATAGTTTTCTTGTAAACCCTGATGTAATGCTTGGAGGGAAGCTAAACAAAAACCACCCCTTGTCTACTCCTCAGATCTCACTTTCTATATCATACATGTAGCTCACGGTTTTTTAGTGCATCAAGTTTCGTTCATGTATATTTGTTCTTTAATATTCAATTTTTGTATTAAATGAAATTCTTAACCTTGTTAATGTTTATTTTCATGCCATATAAATAGAGCTCGTAAAGCTAGAAAATCTTGGAAGATTTGGAAAGCAAGTCGTAATATGATAACTTAAAGTCTGAAATTAAATATACTCCGATATAAATGTGGGTAAAATATTTTAAAAGAAAAAAGGGACCCATGATAACAAAGGAGCAACTTAAAGGGTAGACTTTTGGAATCCCATCACAACATAAAGATTTCTATTCCTCTCCAAAACAACTTTAAATTCACAACCCTATTTTCAACTAAAAGTGAAGTTCCTCACACTTGTAGCGCCCCTACACATTCAATTTATTTCTATTGTATTTTTCATTCTCATATATATATATATATATATATTTGGATTCCAGTAAAAATAAAAGTTATGATAAAAAAAATATAATAAAAGATTGTCATCCTTAGATCAATCTTAATTTCCTTCTAAACTACAATTTATGAATTGGTTTGAGATTAAAAGTGATCAAGGGTCAAAAATCTCTTCTTACACTTCTCAACTTAATTCCTATTCTCACACGATTTTTCGTATGTATGTAAATATACAAAGAGGTTCAAATAAGAAGACAAACAACTGAGAACATATGAATAAGTTATTCATATGTAAAGTATTGGTAAAGGAAATGCAAGTTCTCATATGTATCTTCATATGTGAATAATCGGTAAAGAGATAGGTAGACGAACATGGGTTCACAAATGCATTTTTAAATGGAATTTTTTAGGTTTACTAATGATCCACATATGAATCATTTATTTCAACGTTCTCAATCTTTTTGTCTTTTTTATTTGAATATTCTCCTATATATGCAAGTATAAGGGAGATCATACATATATCCCGATTACTAATACAATTACAATGACCTTTACATGTCTCATTATTTACAAAGTATAAATCAATAACTTTGTTTTTTTTGTAACAAAAAAGATATAAGATTGCAAATATTACTTCCATTATTTCATGAACAATCGAATGAGTTCAATGGGGGGCCGTTATTACAATTGGCCTAGTAACTTTATTGTATCAGCAATCATTGTACCAACACTCAAGTTATTTTGGCATAAATCGACACAACATATAGCATGCAACAATTTATTACCTATATTAATATAACTTTTATCATACTGTAAGAAAAAAACTACAAGTTTGCAAATGTTGCCTCCATTTTTTCATAATAAAAATGTGTTATCAGATTTGAAGAATAAACATTCCACGTAACACCTAAATATTTTTAATTCGGTTTTTATGTCTTTATCGACCTATATAAACCCATTTTTACACTCTTTAAAAACAATTTCCAATTACTTTTCAATTCACTAGTATTTTAACCAATTTAAGTCTTGGTCAAGATTTTTTTTTATCAACGATGTTTCAACAAATATATTGGTTAGAGTTATTGTCATCCAACATTTATGTAAAGCGGATTTCATAAGATTTTGAGCTCATTTAAGTAAGGTGGGATGGTGATAACTCATCTTACATTAATAATAAATGTAATGAGTGAATTTCTTGTAAATATTAAGTTATTGTCTACCAATAATTTTTATCATGCTTTTAAACCGATTTTGAAATTACTGGCCAACTTGTTGCTTTGAACTTTGACGGTTACAAAAAATGTATCAAAGATGACCTTTGTACCATTTGGACGGTGGGATAAACCTCAACAAACACGATGAGTCCCAAAGTGGGTGTTTGTAAGTGCATCCTAATTGAATCTCATATCACTGATGAACAATGAGGATGTCAGGTAAGTTTGACAAAAACTTCAAGATTTTAAGTGTGAGAGTTTGTAGTAGCTTATCGACAATGATGAAAAATAAAATTTGTGAACGTGTGGGCTTAGCTAAGTAGGGTGGGAGTCGTGGCAACCCATACCATATCGATAGAAAATGAGATTTATAAGCTCCTATGCAGGGGCAAACACAGTAGGCAAAAGGTGGGGGGAAGGGACCACAGTCAAAAACTTAAAAAAGAAAATTACTAGGTTAAAATTTAGGTTTTACATGATTTACATTTCACTTCCCCCATTACATTTTTCCACGGGCCCCCAACCCCAATCGAAATCGTTACTCTAACCAAAAAAATCTATTAAGATCAATCAAAAAAACCAAAAAAATTATTTGAAATCGACAAAAACACTAAAAAAATCCCTCAAAATCAACTAAAAAACTTTAAAAATCTTTCAAAACGTTGTAATTAGGTTAAAAACACATTGGCGACTTTACGAGCTTTTGGTATACCTTAAAGATGACCCCAGTAGACAAAAATTATGGATCCGTCACTGCTTTTATGCATCTTTGGAGGGTTACATTTAGCATCAATTACTATGATTGTCCTTTTCTAAAAATACTTGAGACATACATACAAAATTAGATAAGATTTTATACCAACATTCAACATTCCAATCTTATGTCACGAATCAAATTTAGCCATAATTGCCGCTCCATCACATACAATTTAAATTCGACTAGAAACATTAAAATCAATATATGAATTAATTTATATTTATAAATAAAAAAAACACTAAAAGTGGATTATTCAATTTTAATTTCATTAAAGAAAGTCTAAAATTATTTTTTAATTTTATATTTTAAGATATACAACGAATCTATTTGTAATAAAAAAATAATATTAAAGAATTATCTTCTCATAAATAAATGTATCATTTAAAAATATCAACATCATCCTCAAAACAAACAAAATGTAATTTCGCATCATATTTTTTGTTTTTAATAGATGATAAATCAATCAAAATTTTCTTTCACTCCTTCATCGCATCCTACAAAATGTAATTTCGCATCATATTTTCTTTCGTATCATTCACAATTTAATCAAGTATCTTATACCATCTGTTATATCATATCAACAAGAGAACATAAAAACGACATTTTCGTCTTAAACTATAGAGTACACATGAACTAACCTAGAGCGGAAAGTTGGAAATATAGGCCTCATAAACAGAAGCTCCGGAAGAATGGGTTAATATTAATACAATTATCGACAGTATTTATATAAAAAATTTGATTAACGCTCGTATAGATTGTGTTTTAAAACATTCATTTTAGACAAAGTTGCTCGTATCTAAAATGTATGTTTCAAAAATGCAATTTATATTGCGATTAATCAAATTTTGTACAAAAACTGCCGATATGGTGTTGAATTCGGATATGAATATAAGAAGGATTGCAGGTTTGAGTCTCGATTATTTCTGAGATTGACCAATAGAACAAAGCTCGATTGATCCATAATGAAGCAACTCCTCAATCATTTGTTCAATATGATGATCTTCAAGTGTCTCAAAGAACTGTTGCTGGTGATGATGGTGAACGGTGTTATTCTCCATCGCCGGTTGCTGGTGTTGAATCATAGTGGTAGGTTTCGTCTCCGGCGACGATTCACCAACATGGGTCGAATCCATTCGCTTCTGGTTCATCATTTGCTGTTGTTGTTGGATTGATGGTTTGCTCATTTGAAGGGAAGCCATATAGCATCTATGGAGTTTTGCGGTCAAAGTTGCAGAGAGTAACTTGGAAGAAGAAGACTGTGACAAACTGGGGTTGTAAGGGAAGTTGGTTCTTGCACGTGGCCCGCACATGAGCCTCGCTGCCTCATCATAGGCTCTAGCGGCATCCTCTGCCGTCTCGAATGTCCCTAGCCAAATTCTTGTCTTCCTGTTTTGGGGGAAAAACAGAGGGTAAGTATTGAATTACATGATGTACAAGTTATGATGCATTAAGTACAGCTTGGGGTGTGTCGGCATTGTCGGAAAGTAAACTTACAATAATGGATGCCGGATTTCGGAAACCCAAGAGCCCCAATGCCTTTGGCGGACGCCACGGTAGCGCTGCTGTGTTCTTGCCATTTGCGGACCTCAAGTGTTTGTGAAAATGCCTGAATGAAGTCAAAAGCGAGAAAGAAGGAAGATTTTGGTTTTGTCACGAAAGGGAGGGAGGGAAGAATAATGGATGGTTAGATTGGGGGTTTATAAAAGGGTGATGAAGTGGTTTTTTTTATTTTTTATTTTTTATTTTTTATTTTTTAGTTTTTATTTTTTATTTTTTATTTTTTATTTAACATCGTATCTCATGTTCTTCAATTAGTTTAATTAACATAAAAATGTTTATTTAATTAAATCACATAAATTTTAATTCATGATAAACATTTAATCTTTTTGACAGAAAAAAGATGCCAAATGCAATTACATAGAGATTTTTACTCTTTATAGAAATAAAAACAATATTCATATTTATTGATATAATGTGGTAAAATAAAATAATTAAAAAATGTTATATTTTTTCAATGATTTGTAGGCTTTTATTTTGGTCATGGGGTGTGACAAATTACAAATATAGTGTGGGGCCATTAAGGAGTGTTGACAAGAAATTGGCAAATACTTTCTTATATCTCTTGTTTAACAGTTGGCTAATTCACATTATTACTTCAATATTAATATTAATATTAATATTAATATTACAATTATAATTAATATAAATTGATAGTGGCTAAATTCAATTCACTACACTTCTTCCTCTATATTTTCTCCTTCTCTCTCTATATATATATCTCTCTCTCTCTCTCTCTCTCTCTCTGCTAAAGACAAAATTAGTAATGTGTTAAAATTAATATATTTAAATTGATATATAATTTAATATAATAATTTAACTAACAATTACTTGTCATTTTTCATTTGATTATGTAGTTTTAAAAAGTAATTAATATTTAGAGTATTTTCAATAAATTTTTTGAAATAAAGAAAATAAAGTTTTTGTAATTCAAGCAATTCTCTATTTTGTTCGTTAAAATTGAAAAACCAAAATGCTCTTCATTTATCTGAAACATTTTTTATTTACTTGTTTGTAATTGCAAGTAGATCTTGGTTTTACCTCAAGCGAAAAGGAAGTGCGATAAAATATATACAATCCATCAAATCATAATTAGTTTATCAGTCAACAAGTATCTTTTCAATTATCAGCTACCTTATTAACCAATGACCAACTTAGTAACTAGTTTATCTTAAGAGTCTGGGTCAGCTTACACACATCCCGAGTAATCTCAGGGGCCCTAGAGAGAACCAAGAAAATTCTCAAGGGTCTTAACTCTTAAGAATAAGTGACCTCTGAAAAGGATTCTTAAAAGCCCAAGACTTGTTAACTAACTCCACAAAATCTTTATGGTTCATTTAAATTACTATAGTATATACATATATATAGCATTCAGAGAAAATCTAGGGTCATGGTGTATTAGATCTTCCATGTGACCATATCTGCTCGAGAATGGAAGTTTCGACCCCCTCTTGAGTCTAAATAACTCCCAAAAAAGCCCCAAAAGTCAAGCAACTTGCTACTTATAACATTGTTTCTTTAACTTCTCTTCTTTATTTTATGATTCATGTTGGTTTTACTATCAAATGACATTATTAAACCAATATAAAACCTGAACCCATATCAGATTTCCAGATCAACGAGTCGGGATTCGCTTGTTTTATTAGAGCTAATTGGTATGATGTGATGGAATTTTGTGAATCGGAATATAATCAACGGTTTTAATTTGTATGCGTATTTTATTCAAGAAAATAAACTTGTTTCTTATCATATATCGATGAGATTATCTATAATCTTTAAATAATAATCTCTTCGAAAATTTTGGACCGTGAAAATTAATCATTCAATTAAGCATAAAAATAGTGATGGGATATTTTGTGGAAAAAATGAAGGGATATTTATTAGCATATAAACATGATCAATGATTGAGTCAATCCTAGGTTGAGACATAATGAGTAAATCGATCATGCGCCAACCCAATTTGATTTAATCATTTCCTTGCCTATCATTATTCATTTCAATCAAAACCCTAAGTATTATCACCTCATCGCTCGTCTTCGATTCAATCGGTATGCAATCGAGTTTTTCGTTTTAGTGATTAGGGTTATTTTAGGTATTAATAGAAATTACGACACTTGTTCCTATTATCGTAAGATGGTGTGCATACCATTTGGCCTTTCTTAGTATGTGATTTTATTAACGGTATGCATTTGATCGGTCTGTGTATTATATATTATCATGTTTTGGTAAAGATTCTCATCTTTTGCCGCTCGATCAAAGTTCTTCAACATGTATAAAATTAAGCGACATATGCATGCCGACCTTGTTCTAGGTATTGTGTGCTTATTCCCAATGCGGACTGCAAATAGAATCGGTAAGAGTTAAAGTATTGTAAACAAGACAAAACGCCATGACTCATATATAGGATACTACATACACAGATCTCGAGTTATTTTTTTAGGTTAGCAGTAAGTCATGGAGTGGAAAGTTTTATAGAAAGCATGGGGATGATGCAATATGGTTGAATATGAGCTTCATTTGTTAAATAATGGAACACAAAAAGGTGGGCTACAAATCATTCTTGCTATATATAGTAAGTGGTTTTTTAATAGAAATAGGTGGTGAAGCTTTCTATGTTGTACCTTTCTTTATTAGCACGCATTAGTTTGTTGTACAATGACAATTAAAGAGGTTTTAGTTTGTTTGATTTCCATTAAACCACATCAAATTTTCCATTTTTATCCATCATAACATAAAGCGTGTAACAGGAATTACTCTTGTAAGTTATGGAATACGTTATTTCTAGTCGCTAAATGTAGCTAATAAGTTTCATCATTGGAAGGGGATATTTGTCGATCTATATATATACACACACACCTACACATAAGGGAAATCAAATACGAACTCCATAATGTTACAAAATTATAAACCAATATTCATATGTTGTTTTCATCTTATGAAATAAAACATATGAGATATCCAGTGTTCATATATATGAAAATATTCCATAATGTTTTATAACATGAAAATATGTTTACATATAAAGCACATGCATGCTCATGCATAAGAGTGCTTAAAAACCCGATCAACCCAACACGAAATAACTCAACCCGAAGTAACCCGATGTCTAATCGAGTTGTAAAATTGTCAAACCATAGGTATTAGGGTGATATTGGGTTACTATTATTTGAAACCAACCCAACTCAATGAACCCGATATTCTTTTATTCTTGGATTTAATATGTTTGTTGAATTTATATTAATATGTACATTAGACAATTACACTATCATGTATGTTCATCATATACACATATTTTCAATATATTCACATCTTTATATAACTCATTCGTATATATGTTCAGTAATTGTGAACATATATATGTAATTGAGAAAATTAACTGAATGTGATATACGTAAAAAATATGGATAAGTTGTATCAAATGATTGATGATGAAAAAGAAACTAAGAGTAGAGAAATAACATATTCTAGGTTAGAAGAATATTTTAATATACCAAAGTATCAACCCGACCAACCCGTATGGGTTGGGTTGGGTTGGGTTGCATTTTGGTTCGGGTTGGGTTGTTTAAGATTTTGTCAAACTACAAGTATTAAGTTGTGTTATTCAAATGTCTTCAACCCGATCAATTCAACCTATAAACACCCCACTTATACATACATAAAAAGCAAACAAATGAAACATAACTTAAAATTAAACCCACAAAAAGAACATTTATTGGGTTTATATTTAATTAATGAGATATATATAAAATATAAAATGAAAATAGAAGAGTATGAATGAATGTAGATGTAGGTAGGACTAACATGGCTCCCATGATGAGGCAACATACCCATATGCCAAGTATTTGGATCATTCATTCCTACCCCTCCTTTTGCTCTATGCCTCTATGATACGTGAACCCACGTGGATGGACTTCAACCCCATCCCACTTGTAATTACATTTTTATCCTTTATCTTCCAAAAAAGAAAAAAAGTAAAATTAAAATTCTGCTGTAGACTCACTTGACAGACTATGATCCATTTTCATAGATTTGCATGTATATTTAAAAAAACAATTCACATCTGCAGTCGGATTCTCAAATTTAATACTCGATTCGGGTATGGGTCATCTTTGTTGGCTCTACCCCGTCCCTATGCAATGTTTTTAGGATAAAATTAACATTTTATTATATTAATTATAATGGTTCTTCTATACAACCATAATATTATATATATTATACAATTTTAAGTTTGAAATATACATGTAACCATTAATTTAGGGTTTATACCATATTTAATAAACATAAATTAATTTATAACTTAACTTATTTTTGGAATTTATCATAAAAGTCATGTTTGGATGGATAAAAAAATAGTTTATAAGCTAGTTATTGAAACGTTTCTCCAAATAGCATCTCAATAAGCTTCAATAACTTCTTGTCGTTTTTTTTTTCAATCTATGCTCGTGATTTATATTCATTTTCATTTATTATTATTAATTAATATCATTTTCAAATTATTAACTAATCCTAATTGTAAAGCAGCCATTGTTTAATGTTAATTATTTTGGATTATTATTAATTTTTATCAATTATTTTATTTTGTATTTTTATTATTATCTTTATTATTTTTTAAAATAACTAGTCGTCAAAAAACAAATATAGAAATTTTAAAAATGTGTTTTTAATTAAATAAGAGTTAAATTTATATTTCATAATAGAAAAAAACTTTTATAAATATTTTAATAAAAGCTTTAATTTAATTATTATTTTAGTATCATTTGATAAATTTACTGTAAATATTCATATTTAGTTGTACAAATTCCAAATTATATACATATATATATATATATATATATGTATATATATATATATATAAAATAAATCAAATTAAAATTATATTAATAAACATATTATATTACTTAATTTTTTACCATCTAGTATATTATTAAAGATTTGTTTTGTATATATATTGTGAAATGTTAAAATTGACTAACTTTTTAACGTGTCATTTTTGGTCATTTTGTAATTCTTTTAGTTAGGTTATCAGTTAGTTTTTTCTAAACATAATTAGT